GTCTGTAAGAGCTAGGATCAGGGAGTTACCTGTGAGATTAAGTCTCCTTTGGATTTAAAATGCTATGCCCGTAAAGTATCATCAACACGGTCACCCAAATATAAGCTGAACAAGGATGACATCAATAGATGCCCCAATGTGGATGGGGAAAAGGCCACAAAGCCTCAAACCTGTTCAAATAACTATGGTCAACTAAAGAATGCTGAGTGGGAAAAACAGTCTTCTCTAGGAAAGAGCACACACCAATTGGCTATGTAATACCAGTCAGCTCTGAAAACATATTTATGTAACATACAGATTGTTCATCTCTTTGTCTATGCATGCCTGTATCCATCACCTTCTCTTGATTTTATGACTCTAGAAAAAACTGATGAACAGAAGACCCTGAAAAATAAAGCATATTTATTCATTATAATATGCTGCATGAACTTCATTTATTATAAGAAATGCCAATTATAGTGGTATATTATTTTGGTTTTAATAAACAAATCTTGCCTGAAGACCAGAGGCAAAGCTAAAGCCACTAGAAGTCATGTAATGGTGACACACACCTTTAATCTCAGGATTTGGGAAACAGAGGCAGGTGGATCTCTGTGAGTTCAAGGACATCCTGCCCTACACAAGATCAGTAAAGAAACAAATTCAGGTGGTGGTGGTTCACACTTTTAATACCAGTACAAGGGAGTCACATACCTTTAATCCCAGTACTAAAAGGAATAGGAAATGGGAGGAGAGAGAGGCTTAGTCATATTAGCCTATGGTTGCCCAGCCTTGGCAGAAGTAAGATTTCTCTAGTGGTTTGGCTACTTTGTTTTTCTGGTTTTCAAATTGAATCCCAATTTCTGTCTCTGGGCTTTTATTAATTATGCTACACTACCTTCCTCTGCCTCCAGAGTGCTGGGATTAAAGGTGTGCCCCACCACTGCCTGTGTAGAAAAGTTTCTTCTAAAGCAATGATAAATATTTGAGGAGGCAGGCTGGTTTAAACATGACACAAAGTATACACATGTCAGTAAATAACATGGTACCTCAGATTTGTGTAGTTTTTACATATTTGTTGAAATCAAAATTAAAAATCAAAAGTTTTTTTTTCTTTCTAGAGATAGGGTTTCTCTGTGTAACAGCCCTTGTTGTCCTGGAACAAGTTCTTGTAGACTAGGCTGGCCTCAAACTCACAGATCCTGGACTATATGTGTGTGTCACCATTACCTGACCTCTAGTAGCTTTAGTTTTGTCTCTGTTATGTCCATGTTATGAGAACCCCAAATAAAACCACCACAGTGCCAATATCTGATTCAAACATACTGAAGTTTATTGATTACAAGTTAGCTAACTCAGACTGTAATCCAATGCACCAACACAGTGGGTGGGGGAGAACAGCCCCTAGGTTTCAGGGTAGGAGGATTTTAAAGGGAAAAACTGCAAGCAGGGTGGCACAATCCTTGGCATTTTGGGATTGGGTAAAAGTACACAAATTTTGAATTCATTGGTTGGGGTATAGGAGACTTTTTAAACAGTGACTATCAGCAGACAAGAACTTCAAAACAGTGCTTCATCAGATACCTACAAGGACGTTTGAAACAAGCACATGTTGTGTGGACACCATGGTGAGTCACTTTGACCAGAGCTGGCACAGTTTCTTGGGAGTGTTTATGACTTTGCTGTTTTTCATTCACTCTCCCTATTCAGGTCCTGTCTAAAATGGAGTTCTTTCTCAAAATGGAGTTTGGACTGCTCCTTTGGCTCTGGTCTTCAGGCAAGATTTATTTATTAAAATACGAATAATATACCACCATAGCCAATAGTGCAGTTTCAGAGTGAATGCTGGCAGGAAGAGCTACTGTTATGATTCAAATCAAAGACAGAAAAGAATGGCTAATGTCTCAGATCAAAGGAAGTCAGGCTAATGAGGAAATTTATTTATTGTATTGTCTTTTTGATACATTCAGACTTTTAATTGATTGGGTAAGGTTTCTTTCATTGAGTAAGAAAATTTTTGTACCTTATTCATACAGATCTCTTATTCTGCAGTGATATAAACCAGAAACTGTTTTATTTATGACTTTTCTAACATTCATCCTATATAAAGATATTTTGCTAATAACTAGTACATATTTTATTTATTTATTATTTTTACATACCAATCCCAGTTCCCCCTCCATTCTCTCCTGCTCCTCACCCCACCCACTATCTGTTCCTCAGAGAGAGTAAGGCCTACCCTAGGAAAGTCTATTAAGTCTGTCTCATCAGTCCAATCTACTTGAGGCAGGACTAAGCCCCCCACCCATGCCTAGGCTGAGCAAGGTATCTATCCATTGAGAATGGGCTCCACAAATCAGTTCATGTGTTAGGGTTAGATCCTCGTCCCACTGCCAATAGTTCCACATATTGATAAAGTCACAGCATTTTCACTCGCATTCAGGGGCCCAGTTGTCAGTTTGGAGTCAGTGAACTCCTACTAGCTCAGGTCAGCAATTTATGTGATTTCCCCATCATGTTCTTGACTCCTTTGTTCATACTATCATTTCTCCCTCTCTTTGATTGTATCCAAGAGCTCAGCCCAGTGGTTAGTTGTAGATCTCTGCATCTGCTTCCATGTGTTTCTGAATGAGGGTTCTAGCTTCTTCAGGGTTGTTTACTGTAGGCTGGTTATTCTTTTTCTTTATATCTGATATCTGCTTGTGAGTAAGTACGTGTTATATTTGTTTTTCTGGGTCTGGGATACCTCACTCCGGAATATTTTTTCTAGTTCTGTTCATTTTCCTGAAAATTTCAAGATGTCATTTTTTTCCTGGTGAATAGTACTCCATTGTGTAAGTGTACCACATTTTCTTTACCCATTCTTCAGTTGAGGGGCATCTAGATTGTTTCCAGGTTCTGGCTATTGTGAATAATGCTACTATGAACATAGTTGAACAAATGTCCTTGTGGTTTGAGTGTGCCTCCTTTGGGTTATGTCCCAAAGTGATATTACAGGGTATAGAAGTGGATTGATTCCCAATTGTCTGAGAAATTGTCGTACTGATTTCCATAGTGGCTGTACAAGTTTGCACTCACATCAGCAATGGAAGTATATTCCCCTTACTCCATATCATCTCCAGCATAAGCTCTAATCAGTGGTTTTGACCTTAGCCATTCCAATTGGTGTAAGATTAAATCTCAGAGTTGTTTTGATTGGCATTTCTCTGCTGGCTAAGAATGTTGAGCATTTCCATAAGTGTCTTTTAGCCTTTGGAAGTCTTCTGTTGAGAATTATCTATTTAGATTTGTACCCCATTTTTAATCGGATTATTTGGTAGTTTGTGGTCTAGTTTCTTGAACTCTCTGGATATTATAGAAATCAGCTCTCTGTCAGATGTGTGATTGGTGAAGATCTCCAATTCTGTAGGTAGTTGTTTAGTTTTGTTGACCATGTCCTTTGCTTTACAGAAGCTTCTCAGTTTCAGAAGATCCCATTTATTAGTTGTTTCTCTCAGTGTCTGTGATACTGGCATTGTATTTAGGAAGAGGTCTCCTATGTCAATGTGCTCAAGGGTACTTCCCTCTTTCTCTTCTATGAGCTTCAGTTTGGTTGGATTTATGTTAAGATCTTTCATCCATTTGAACTTAAGTTTTGTGCATGGTGATAGATATGGATCAATTTACATTCTTCTACATGTCAACATCCACCATTAGTTGAATATGCTTTCTTTTTCCATTTTATTTTAATACAATATATTATATAAATATATTATATATTTCTTGAAATATCTCAATCTATTTGTTTAGGTGGTGGTGCACAGGTGGAGGTCTTGAGATCAGCATTTTGATGAAAATGAAGTGAAGGAAGAAGAATTTGAGGGAAACTGACTACAGCTGTGGGAAGAATGTGGTCTCAACTGCATTTGGCTTCATTCTGGAGTTTTGAGAGCTTTGGAGTGTGCTACAGAGCTGATTTCCCTTGCAGACAAAGAATTAACTGTTTTTACCTTTATATTGGACATTTGGAGGCTCTGAAATCGTTATAATATTTCCCCCCATTTTGTCTCATGCATTGTCTAAAGACATGTGGGCTACGAACTGTTAGTGATCTAGACTTGTGGTACTTGGAGTATATGTGTGCTAGTCCAGCAGAACAGATTTAAGATGGATGAAACAGAATCCACCACACTCTGTATCTTCACAGCATTTACACTTAAATCATTACAATAAGCTCATGCTTCTATTCGTGTTTCCCTCCTTCTATTGTCAAGGTGTGGTTAGAGTACATCATGGGGAACCCAGATTCAGTGGGTGCATATTCATCACAGTTCCTGCCTCTGTGGCTCAAGGAACACCACAGAAAATGAGGTGGAAAGATAGTAAGAGCCAGAACCTCAAGAAGTCTGCTCTGAAACAATCTCTCATAGAAAACCTTTTGAATATTTTCCTTCTTTTGAAATACTTTCAGATCAGTCTCATTCCTATGCATTCTACTGATATCTTTATGTATGCGTGTTAAGTATATGTGTGTTCATATTCTGTATGTATATAGGTACATGTGTATATATATGCATGTGTGTAAGGATACTGGAGTGAATATTAAGTGTCTTCCACCATCATTATTCTTTTCTTTTGATGCAGGATTTCTCATTGAGCCCTGAGCTCACTGTTTAGCCTGACTGGATGGCCAGTGAGTGCTGAGATTCCCTGGTCTCTGCTCCATCAGTGCTGAGGTTTCAGAATCTTGCAACCTGAACCCAGAATTTTAAAATTTTCTTTTATTTTTGAGGTTAAGATATAATTACAACATTTCCCCCTTTCCTTTCATTTTTCTAAGCTCTCCCAAATATCCCTTCTTGTTCTCTTTTGAATTAATTTTCTCTATTATTCACTATTTACTGTTACATACATCAATGTGTATACATGTATATTCCTAAATACATTATTACTGCAGAATTTGTAAATAAAATACATAACTAATTTTCTCCTTATCCAATAAATGTGCTTTCCAAAATTATAGATAGTTGCTTTTTATTTTATGATTCAATTTAATTCATGCTGTGCTCCAGGTGTGTTCATTCATTACTTGAAAGAACTTTTTTGCTCCCCAATTTCTTAATGGCATCTTTCATCTGAGCATTTCTCAAGGTGTAGATTAAGGGATTTAGCATGGGAGTTATCATAGTATAGAACATAGCAACTGCTTTATCAATAGATAAGGTAGCTACAGGTCTCATGTACACAAATATGCAAGGCACAAAGAATAAGACAACCACTGTGATGTGTGAAATACAGGTAGAAAGGGCTTTCCGCCTTCCTTCTGCACTGTGGCTCTTTAGGGAGCGTAGGATGGCCACATAGGAGACCAACAGAAGGAGGAAGTTTAGCAGACAAATAAAGCCGCTGTTAGCAGCAACAAAGAGTCCAAGAGTGTGAGTATCAGTGCAGACAAGGTTGAGCAAAGGATTAAGATCACACATAAAGTGATCTATGACATTAGGGCCACAGAAGGGTAATTGGAAAATGAACAGGATCTGTATGGTGGCATGAAGAAAACCTCCCAACCACGACACTCCCACTAACAGGCTACATAGTCGACGACTCATAATGGTTGCATAATGAAGGGGTTTGCAGATGGCCACATAGCGGTCATAGGCCATCACAGTTAGCAGGATGATCTCAGCACCTCCAAACAAATGCTCCCCGAAGATTTGAGTCATGCATCCATTGAACAGGATGGTCTTCTTTTCACAGAGTGAATCTACTATCAGTTTAGGGGTGCTAACAGAGGAATAACAGGCATCAATAAAGGACAGATAGGCCAGGAAAAAGTACATGGGAGACTCTAACAATGATGTAGAAATTATGGTGACCACAATGAGCACATTTCCTGCTATAGAAGTGATGTAGATAAGAAAAAACACAGCAAATACAACTTTCTGCATCTTTGGGTTCTCTGTGAGTCCCAGAAGGATAAACTCTGTCACGTTGTTTTGGTTCTCCATTTTATTTCATGCGATAGCTGGCTATATCACCTGAAAAATATCAATGCAATTTTTAATCTTTTAAAAATATCCACCTTATTAAGTTTAGTCTCAGGTCTCTATTTTCTGCTTATCTGAGAATTTTTATTTATGCTCTAAGAAAGGTTCTGAATTCTTCAAGTTGTTTTTCGTGTGACAACTCTCTTAGGAGATCAATATGAGGAATTTTTATGAGTGTGCAGGGCAAAAGACAACTGATTATACGAATCCATCTATTATGACTCAGGATCTAACTTGTAGTGGATTTTATGCTAGTAGAAGCTAAGCTTTAACAAAGATATAGATGTTTCTGTGTACAGGCTGTGAATGCAAAACTAAAGCACTTTCCCTACGGCCATGTGAAATAATGAAATTTAGCAAGTGTATGAATATGAGTGTAAAACAAAGGAAGAAATTGAAGAAGGAGAAATATTTGATGGTAATGCAGTAGAGTTGTGTGTGTGAGTTGGATGAGAAGGTCTGAGGTTGAGTACCAGAATGGAAGCCAGAGAGAGGAGTTCAGACCCTGTTTAGAGTAGGTGACATAGATATTCCAGGTGTAATTCCTAGGAATATAGAGGATGCAAGTGCTGTGGTGGAAGGCATAAAGTAGGGGCACAGTGTGAGAGAAGAAAGGAGGAGATACAGAAAAAACATTTTTCCTTGATAAATGATATAATGAATTCTGATATTTTATAGTCTAATAAAAATATGAACATTAAAAATCATGTTTATGAAATCGAATAACTTCACAATAGTACTACATACTTTCATGTGATTGAGATTTTATGAGGCATGACACCCAGTTTCCTGTGCACATTAATGTTTTTTCATTAATGTTTATAACAAATTATGTGGTTAACATTATTTTGTCAATTTTTCAAATGAGTCAAGAATCATGAAGATTAAATGTTATTTGCTACAACAAGAACACTATTGCTCAAATGACTGATCAATGAGTGTATTCTGAATTTGTAGTTATTTCCCAATTTTATTCTTATTATATATTCTTGAGAGATTGTCTCAATAGTTATTTTTACATTATCTTAAAAATTAGAAAATAGAACCAATGAAATTAGCAGATGAGTACAAAATCAAAGAATTAATAAATAGCAGTCAAATGTACATTTCATGTTATTTTTAAATTTTTATTATTTTTCTTTAAATTCTTGATTCATAGTCTATATTGTTTTAATAAGTATACTTTAATTATTTAATCTTTTAATTATGGCCCAAACAATACTATTATTTTTAATATTATTTTAGAGTAAATTTGTGCAGGACATAGTATCCAATGCACACAATGACATTTTTCTACTCTCAAATATTAAGAGTGTTGTGGTACTGTATTTAGTGACAGAGTCTTGGAATTTTGTCGTTTTCATAGTTACACTCACCTTTACTATAATTATGAAATGAAGGCTTTAAGATTGTCCTTCAAAATACTGAAAGCCATCCAACAGTAGCGATAAGGATATTAATTTTAGAACCCCAACTTCAGATTAGAATCCTGGTTCTTCCACGTGCAATTTCTTTATCTTAGGTGCATTTCTTGGCATCTCATGCTATTATGTCCTCACCTAAAAAGTGAAAATATTAAGATACATGTATAGATTTTTTATCAGAATTATTGCAAGAAATATATAGGGAAACAACACAATCATAACTAGAACATTTCTATAAAAGTATTTAACCACTTGATAAGCTCATAGATAATCATTACCAATATTACTCTTCAAGAGACCATAAACTCATATTATCTATAGCAGTAATCCCAGGAAGGGTTTTCTATGTTCATGGAGTAAACCTTTGATAATTTATGTATTTAAATCTTCTATGCATATGGAATATGGAAACTTTTCTCATAATTTGTCTGGATGTTTTTCATTTGGTATTCCATGGCAAAAGCCTGGTCTTTGATTTAAAAAACCTGTGTCCTACAAATTCCTTAAGAATTTAAACTTCAATTATAATGCGAGAGAAGTTTAATGCTTAAATGTCATAGACTTAAGATGAGAACAAAATAATATATAAATGTATTTGAAAAGCATTTAAAAATAATTATCATCATATGAGGAAAGTAAGAATCTTTTCTAGTTATCAATCCCACTATGAAACTTACCTCGTTCATCTTAGATGATTCTAATAATGTCTGGAAATATCCAAACACAATGTGGTTTTCAAACTGAACTTCCATTGGAATAATTAACTTTAATGTGAAACGTACGCCACAGTTAGAAACAGAATCACTTGGATAACTTGATGTGAAATCAAATGTTGAGTCTTTGTTAAATCAAATCTTCTCTTCTAAAGTCTCAAAACAATGTTACAGGAAACTTGATATTTGAATTTTAATATATTTATACAGAGAAATGATTTTCAATGCAAAACTGTTGTTTCCAAAGGGCAGAAGGCAGATAGTGTGGATGAAATAAAGTAGACAGATCACTCTTTTCTTGATGAATCCTGATCTAGAGATATTAACAGCAAAAGCCTTTAATATCTTGAACTATACTGATATATAAAGAGGACCAACATAGGTGCAGAGGCACTGACCTGTAACTGTTGGTGTTTCACCTGGGATTAATTATATCTTTTGATGGAAAGGATTTGTCTTGGTAGCAGATATTCTGGAGAGACATCATTGGGAAAAAATGTTGAGTGAGAATTGTATTCTCTGAATTGGAATGAAAGCTGTGACTTTACTTTCTCATGTTATCTCAGATTAAGAAATCAAAATGCTGTTGGCATCAAAGCATCATAACTTCAAGTTGGAAAACTGTTCTAATTTTTTATGAATAAAATCACAGAAGCAGCTTCAATTTTCATATAAGTATTAAAATTTCTCCGAAAATTAACTCTTTTTTGTTAAAGTACTAAATACATTAATGGAACCTTAAAAGTACTTTTTTTCAAATGTTGGTTTTCTTTCAATCTATATCTTAATATATTTTATTAAAGTAGTCCAATTTAAGATTTACTAATTAATCTTCTTTTATATGTTCACAATATATCATAATGACAGCAAGCACACATAGTAAGGAATTTAGCATTCTGGCTAACTGCTTTTTTTTTTTTT